CTCACCTCACCCTCACGCTCCGCACTCGCTCTTCCTCATTCCACCCTCAAAGATGGGTCGTGTCAGTCGCAGACTGCGCGTCCCTGACGCCCCTGAAGGCACTCGCTCTGAGCTGTTCCTGCTCAATCATGACCTGCAACCTGTCCCAAAGGAGAAGAGAGCATGGTCTGCCCGCAACTTTGCCATGTTCTGGATCGCTGACAGCGTCAACATCAACTCGATGCAGATTGCCAGTTCTGGTGAGTTGGGTCGACGTGCACGCACGAGCATAGACGCTACCCAACCCCGCGACCTGACTGGCCCCTTCCCGCTTCTCTCTGGCCCAACGCACCGCTCAAAGCCATGGTCGCTGGACTTACATGGTGGGAAGCGCTCATCGCTACCGCACTTGGCTACTCGATCACTGCCTGCTTCATCGTCATGTCTGCTCGACTTGGAGCAGTGTACCATGTCCCCTTTCCCGTCATTGTCAGATCCTCCTTTGGTCTCTTTGGTGCCATCTGGCCCGTCATCAACCGTGCAGTCATGGCGTGCGTCTGGCAAGGTGTTCAGGCATGGATCGGAGGTACTTGCATGGGCGTCATGATGAGATCCATCATTCCCGGTTACAACAACATTCCCAACAAGCTCTCACCTTCCGTCGGCATCGAGTCCAAGGACCTTCTCAGCTTCTGGCTCTTTGGTCTCATCAACCTCCTATGCGTTCTGCCTTCCCCACAGAAGTTGAGACACATCTTTACCGTCAAGGCTGTCGTTGCACCCATCGCCCTCGTCGCCTTCCTGGCGTGGACTTTGGCCGATGCTGGCGGTCTTGGTCAAGTCATTCGACAACCGGCGACCATCTCGGGTAGCACGCGCGGCTGGGCCTTTGTCGGCGCCGTCTTTGCTTGCATCTCCAACAATGCCACGCTCATCACCAATCAAGCAGACTTTGCGAGATTGTCGAGCAAGAAATCCGACACTGTTCTGCCCCAGCTGCTCACCATGCCTCTTGGATTCACCATCACCTCGCTCTTTGGTGTGCTCATCGCTGCGGGAGGTCAAGCGCTTACCGGCACCCTCTACTGGGACCCCATCGGCTTGCTCAATGCTCGACTCGACCCGAACCCTTACGATTCCAAGACTAGAGCGGCGTGCTTCTTCCTCGGAGCTTCCTTTGTCATCGTCCAAATCGGTCTCAACGTCGCTGCCAACTCTTTGAGTGCAGGATCAGACTTCACCGCCCTCTTGCCTCGCTACATTAATATTCGTCGTGGAAGCGTCATTTGCTGGGCAGTCGGAATGGCCTACTGCCCTTGGTTCATCCTCTCATCCAGCAGCTCATTCACCACCTACCTATCCGCCTACTCGCTCTTCCTCAGCAGCATCATCGGTGTGATGATGGCAGACTACTACGTCCTCAGGCGAGGCTGGATCGATGTACCGGCCCTTTTCAGAGCGCACAATGCGACGGGCGACGGCAAGTCTCAATTCTACTACAATTTCGGCTTCAACTGGCGAGCTTATGCCGGTTACGTTGCAGGAATTGCCATGTCCGTGACGGGTTTTGCCGGTGTGCTCGGCGCCAACGTTTCGATCGTCGCCGAGCGAATCTATACGCTGGCGTTCCCCATCGGATTTCTCGTTTCCGGCATCGTCTATCTCGCGTGCAACTACATCTCTCCCGTACCCGAGACGGTCAACCTCAAGAGGGACCGCAAGACTTGGCTCGAACCTAGAGGTCCTACGGGATGGGAGGACTCGTACTGGACAGGAAGCGAACCGGCCGCTACTGCTGCCATCGATGAGGAAAATCAGAGCTCGCAGATCAGCTCAAAGGACGAAAAGACGAGCGGTGAGGGTGCGACGATGACGAACAAACCTGCTGTAGCTACGGTAGACTACTAGAATCGACTTGCGTTTCCATTGGCTCGTACATCCTTGCTCGAAAAGTGTTTCTTCTGTCGTACCCTTTCCCCTCACTCCCCTACCCCATCCATCGCCTTTACGATTTTCATGGGATACGCTGCTCTGTACATCATCATCTCGACCCAAGATTTGGCTTGCATAACAAATGTCACACTAACGATGCCGAATTGCAGAAGAGTCTTTTCGATGGGCTGATTAATGTGCAGTCTTGATTTTGTTCTGAGACTTCTCGCGTTGTTGCAGTATTGCCTCGCGGTTAAGTTTCTGCTTTGGGATGGCACGCCATCTCGCCCCGTCTTCGGGCGGTACCGCAGTCGCAAAGTCACACCAGCCACGCCTTGAAACAAGGACTTGGGCGAGCCCACTGAGGAAAGCTTGTCTTTCAGTCTACGTTGGCATCGTGCATTGAGAGGGACGAAGCAAGAGGTGCGTGTAGGATGTACATTCTGGGCTCATGCTTTGGAGAGGATACGAACGGTCCTGTCCAAGCTAGAGACGACAAGAGAGCCATCCCTAGGGTCCCAAGCGCAATCGGTGCATTCGGCAGTGTTGCCGTCATCCGCAGCAAGCAATTGCCAAGTCTTGTTGGCATAGATTTTTGCATCCGTGCCCACCACGGCCAAGAAGCTAGCGGTAGGGTCGAAAGCCAAGGCCAAAACGTTTCCTGCTTCTCCTTTCGAAGATTCCGAAGCGTTGATGGTTCCAGCAACGCTGAGCTTTCGCAGATCCCAAATCTTGACTTCGCCAGAACCCTTTCCGCCTGCTGCCAGATAATAGCCGTTCTCCGAAAAGCCTAGCGCCGTCACTCCAGCGCTGGCCGAGTGATCCCTGAAAGTGCTGACCTTTTGAATAGCGCTCACATCCCAAATCCTCACCACGCCTCCAGCCGTACCTGTAGCGGCCAATTGTCCGTCCGGATGAAAAGCAAAAGACTCGTACGCGTATCCGCCCGCCGCTTCTTCGGCCGTCTCGTTGGAGGGCGCATCCACTGCAAGGAGCCTTTCGCCCGTCGTCGGATCGTGCAAGGCCCACAAGCCATCTTTGCTGCAAGTACCGATCAGTGCGCCGGAAGGATGAATATCCAAACCCGTCACTTCGGCTTTGTAACCCTTGATGACGTGGGAGAGAGCGTACTCTGGCGCAGCATCTCCTTCGTTTGCGCCAAGCTTCCATACACGAATGCTCTTGTCTTCCGAAGCGCTCACTGCGAACGACGGAGGTGGAGCTTCTCCGGCTTCTGTGCCTACGTCGGCAATGCTAGCGTCCAAAGGTGGCTTGGAGAAGACAACACGGGTGATCTTCTTCGTATGTCCCTTTAGCGTCGCGATCTGCCTTCCGGAAGCACGATCATACACTTGCACCTGCTTATCTGCGCCTCCCGTCAGCAGCAGATTGCCAGAAGAAGAGACGTCCAAGGAGGTCACGCCTGGCGGCTTGGTGCTGTGCATGGACGGTAGGCTCGTCGTCGTCTTGAATTCCCGCACATCCGCTGCTGAAGCGTAGCCCGCTGGCGCCTTGCGCTTCATCTTTGCTCGACGTTGCGAGGATAGGCTGTCAAGATAGGGCGAAGTGGCAGTCAGAAGGGGGGGGGG